TGTTGACATTGTATAGATATGAACCAAAGGGAAAAAGACAATTCTAAGAGTAGAATACCTCCTGACAGTTGACTTGAACAGGAATTTCATTGTCTCCAGCAACAATTGCAGCAGTATGAGTGTATGACTGTGAATTTGTGTAACGCTCTGTTCCGAATCGGTTCCTAGTCCGAGGCTGTGGCCCGAAGATCGGTCATCATCAGGATTAGGGCTTTTGAGAAGGTAAGATCTAGGCCCATTTGGGTGCGGGTGCTGTATTAGAAGTGATTCGGGTGTTCGGTTCGTGTTTTGAGGCCTAGGGGTATTTCGGTAAAGTGGCAGTTTGGGCTTTTGTGGAAAATGGACTTTTGTTCGGAAGGTCTTAAGGAAGGTATGAGTTGATAGAAGTGTAGGGCTTCTCGTCACCTTTCCGTGGATATAAGGATCGTCGGAATCGGGTTTATAACGAAGAAGTTATGGCCTTCGGAAGTTTCGTGGTTTTCAGGCTTAGCCGAGCACGCGGGGCGTACTAGTGAAGAAGGCAGTACGCGGGGCGTACAATATGTACGTTGGGCATACTCCAGTCAGATTAGAACCCTATTTTAGGGTCTTGGACCCTATTTAAGCCCCTTATCTCATAACCTAACCCTAATATCTTCAGCATCCACCCCTCTAAACCCTAGAAATCGTCATATATCATCCATGGTGGCATTTTGAGCTTATGGAGTCCATTTTTGGGGTGTTTGATCCATTTTCAAGAAGATGGAGTTTGATGCAAAGATGGGAATCAAGGAGGAGCTTATGGATCTGGCTTTTAGGACTCATTCTCAGCTTGATGAAGGTATAAAGCTTTGAACTTGATCATTCATCTCTTAGATCTACCATTTTTGGGTTTTGGTTCCTTTTTGGTCCCAAGGATGAAGCTTTATGGTTCAAATTCGATTCTTAGACTTAGGGTTTGTAATGCTCTGTTCTGAATCGATTCCTAGTCTGAGGCTGTGGCTCGAAGATCGGTCATCATTAGGATTAGGGATTTTGAGAAGGTAAGATCTAAGCCCATTTGGGTGCGGGTGATGTATTAGAAGTGATCCGGGTGTTCGGTTCGTGATTTGAGGCCTAGGGGTATTTCGGTAAAGTGGTAGTTTGGGCTTTGTGGAAAATGGACTTTTGTTCGGAAGGTCTTAAGGAAGGTATGAGTTGATAGAAGTGTAGGGCTTCTCGTCACCTTTTCGTGGATATAAGGATCGTCGGAATCGGGTTTATAACGAAGAAGTTATGGCCTTCGGAAGTTTTGTGGTTTTCAGGCTTAGCCGAGTACGCGGGGCGTACTAATAAGGAAGGCAGTACGCGGGGCGTACCTTGGAGTAAGCTGGGCGTACTGACTAGGATGGTCACGAAGGTTCCCAGGAGTACGTTGGGCGTACCATATGTACGCTGGGCGTACTCCAATCAGATTAGAACCCTATTTTAGGGTCTTCGACCCTATTTAAGCACCTTATCTCATAACCTAACCCTAATATCTTCAGCCTCCACCCTCTAAAACCCTATAAATCGTCATATATCCTTCATGGTGACATTTTGAGCTTATGGAGTCCATTTTTGGAATGTTTGGCCCATTTTCAAGAAGATGGAGCTTGTTGCAAATATAGGAATCAAGGATGAGCTTATGGATCTGGCCTTTGGGACTCATTCTCAGCTTGATGAAGGTATAAAGCTTTGAACTTGGTCATTCATCTCTTAGATCTACCATTTGTGAGTTTTTGTTCATTTTGGCCCCAAGTATGAGATCTAGTGGCCTTGATTTCATTCCAGGAGCTTTGAGTTGCCCCTCTTAGTGTTTCTGAGGTTCAAGGTCCATAAAGTTGGCACCTTTAGAGTTTAAGACCATCTACGTTGGAGTTTGAGCCATTTCCATGAAAGTGGAATGCTATTTGGTCTTGTTGGGGCATGAAAAGTCACCAAGTCAGTGACTTTATGGGTTTAGAAATTATATGGGACTCAGATCTGTGGTTTGGATTTATGTCTTAAAGCATTAAGTGCTTAATGGCAGAAGTGAGACTAGAGGGTATACAATGGGCGTACAAGCCAGTACGCGCAGCGTACCAGCCATTTAGCGAGTACGCGCAGCGTACTGCTGAGTACGCACTCAGCCAGGTTGGATTTCGGACTTTGGGCTTCGGGTTGGGGCCATCTGTTTGGGCCTAGATTCTTGGGCCCTAATGGACCATCAGAGTGGTTGTGTTCTGGACTAATTGAAGGATTGGATCTTAGGTTAAGGCCCAATAAGGAGTGTGGGCCCAATTTGGAAAATTGGGCCATACATGGGCCTATATGGATTTTATGGTTTTGGACTATGTGTTTTGGGCCCTGTTGGGCCATCAAGTTTTGGGGTTGATATTTATTTGTGGAGGCCCATTATGGTTTTGAGCCCAAATTGGAAAATTGGGCCATTGATTGGGTCTTAGGGAATTTTTGGTAATTGGGCCTTGTGGACTATTGGGTTTGGGCCCAATTTGGAAATTAGGCCATTAAAGGACTTATGGACATTATAATGTCGGGCTTTTGTTTTGGGATTGGGCCTTAGTTTTGGATCATACTGGGCCAGGGGTAGAATGGTCATTTTACCCCATGCATGGATTAAGGATTATGGTATGGGACCCAATTGCTAATTGGGTATATTGATCGGTAGTGACAGCTCGGGAAGCTGGCGGGGCAGCAGCTAAGGACTTCATGCGGGAAGCTTCTGCAGTGCGAGGTGAGTCTTCTCACCATACCAATGGGTCTAAGGCACCAAGGCCGGCACATTTTATGATATGTGGTACACTAGTTGTAGTAGAGATATGTGGTATGATAGTTAGCTTTATGCTAAGCGGTATGCTAGTGATTATGTGATATTTGCATGGAAGACCCCAGGGGGAGCCCGTGGTAGTTAGATATAAGACCATGTGGGGGAGCCCATGGCATGATGGTATAAGACCCTGGGGGGAGCCCACGACATCCTTATATGTTTATGTATGTGTTATGTAGTATGATAGATACTTCTGTGATATATGATATGTTAGTTGATTATGTATGTTATTGCATGGAAGACCCCGGGGGAGCCTGTGGCAGTTGGATATAAGACTATGTGGGGGAGCCCATGGCATTCCTAGGTAAAGACCATGGGGGGAGCCCATGGAATGAAGGTATAAGACCCTGGGGGGAGCCCACGACATCCTTATATGTTGGTATGCATGGCTTATGTGGTAGAGATAACTTGTATAGCTAATATGATATGTGGTATGTGGTAGAGATAGCTTTTATAGCTAATATGATATGTGTTATGTGGATTGTGTGTGGGGTATGCTCTGGGGGACTCACTAAGCTTTGTGCTTACGGTTTACAGTTTTGGTTTCAAGTATCATCGATTTGGAAAAGGAGGGCTCGGATTGATCGCAGTGCACACACCTATGATTTCCGCAATAAATGATTTTGGGATAAACACTGATAAATGTTTTACTTAATGATGATTTAAGATGTTTTAAATAAATGGTATCAATGTTTTAGTTATATTAAAAATGAAATTTTTACCCCTGGTTTTTGGGTCGTTACAATTTGTGACCAATAAATCAAAATATTTTTAACTGAAATTATTCAAGTATTTGCACAAACCATCACATCACCATCAAGAGGCGAAGCAAAATCAAAATCATACTAAGTATTAAACGCACCATCAGCAAAATGTTGAGCTCAAACAATCTTTCCATTGCAGAAACTTTTCTTTGTATCAAGATCAACTTCACATTTTCCTTTGTGAAACTCACCTTCTAATCTCTATGCACCGATTTCACACATGGGGCTCGCATTAGCATCTCTGCCTACTAATATCATTTAAAATATATATAAAAGTTAAATAGTTTATATATAAAATAAAAGTAAAGAGGTTTGGATTGTGACCTGTTCTTGAGACATGTGAACTGTGAAGCCATTAATGAGATGTTTACAACTGGGGGCGGATGCAAAATAAAGTGATAATCCGTTGTCGACAAGTCTCAAGCACAGGACTGACAACAAAAGAAACCTGCAATTCCAAGAATTTATATCATAGGAACATAATAACTTTGCTGAAAAGGAAGAAAAAAAATTCAGAAATCAAACCATGGTGCTGATTAAGAAGATCGAAGATGTTTCACACACGGCTTCAAATGAAATTAATGTAAACACTGAGTCAACAACCATAATGAGTAACGATTCCTCATCGTCTCTTCTTCAATCGAGCCTAACCGGTACCAATTTGTCGTCTCTTTTTAATCAATCCTGATTGCTTCGTCATATTTCTTGCTTCTCCAAATAGGGCCAATCTTTGTATAATCAAACACAATTTTGAAATCGTTTAACATGGAATCCTTATAAAGTATGACTGATGGACGAATAAAGCAAGCAATTTTGGGAGTGGATTTGAGGAGATGGAATTTTCATGGCAACACAGTCGTTAATAGAGAAGACGAAGAGGAGTAGGGTTTAAGAGAGAAAAATAGAGGTAGAAATATGGAATGATTCACAGAGAACACACTTATATAGACGAGATTGAACAGTTACACACAAATATGGAGAAGTGGAGATTGTGGGTAGTGAAGTCTAGGCGGTTATGGGAGAAACCGATTGACAATGTGGGTTGTAGAATGTGGGAGGTGAGAGGAAGAAACCTCTGATTAACCGTAAATACAGAGTTATTACGGTCAGATCAAAAGTTGAATGATTTTTAAGGGTCATGATCATTTGAGCGGTTCTCCAACTCACCGTCATCCATAATAATAATAATTATAAAATTTATTACCTATCACATAAACTAATTTAATCATTTTTACAAAGTTTCATTTTATTTTATTATGCATAAACATTTTAAAAATAAAATTTTTTAAATAAGCAAAATCCGAAACAACCCATGGTGTACTTTGAACACAAAAAAAAAAAAAAAAAAAAAAAAGTTGTAGATAACAGGGTGATTATAAGAACACGTAGATGCAATCCAATCCAACACTCAAAAACCTATGGCTTTGGTTGATGCATGAAACCCCTGTTTCCTTCACATAAAAATCAAACCCATTTCCCTCAAATTCAATCGCTTTTCACACGATTCCCCAATATTTATACACTTGATTGATCGAATTCAAGAAAACCTCTACCAAAAAAAAGCTCAAAAGCTTCATTAATGGCTTCCGCCACCAATACTGTTCTTTCTTCCAATTTCTTTGGCTCAAATGTCTTGCTCTCAACCCCAACGCCTAAAACCCACAAAACCTTAAGGAATAGATTCGTAATCCCGCAATCAATTCTTAGCAAAAAACCCAATTCCTCAAATGATTTCAATTTTCAATCGAAAGCCACTTTAGCTGCTCTGCTATTCTCTTCAATCACAACACCACAAGCCTTAGCGGACACCAATCCACCACCACCACCGCCACAAGCCCCACTTCAAGCTGAGTTAGTTAAACAAAACCCATCAACAAATTCTTTACCGTTTTCACAATCGAATGTTCTCACTGCACCAAAACCCCAGGCCAATTCCGACCTTCCTGAAGGTAGCCAATGGAGATACAGCGAGTTCTTAAATGCAGTCAAGAAAGGGAAAGTCGAAAGGGTTAGATTCAACAAAGACGGTGGCGTTTTACAGCTCACCGCCGTGGACGGCCGTAGAGCCTCCGTAGTCGTCCCAAACGACCCTGATCTTATTGACATCTTAGCAATGAACGGTGTTGATATATCAGTGTCAGAAGGTGAAGCCAGTAACGGCCTTCTCGGGTTCATTGGCAACCTATTGTTCCCATTGTTAGCCTTCGGTGGTCTGTTCTTCTTATTCCGCCGATCCCAAGGAGGCGGCGGTGGACCAGGCGGCCTCGGTGGACCTATGGATTTCGGAAGGTCAAAATCCAAGTTCCAGGAAGTCCCAGAAACCGGCGTTTCTTTCGCAGACGTCGCCGGAGCAGATCAAGCTAAACTGGAGCTCCAAGAAGTCGTTGATTTCTTGAAAAACCCAGATAAGTACACAGCCCTCGGAGCTAAAATCCCAAAAGGGTGTTTACTCGTGGGACCACCAGGAACCGGGAAGACCCTTTTGGCTAGGGCGGTGGCCGGAGAAGCTGGTGTGCCATTTTTCTCATGTGCTGCATCAGAATTCGTTGAGTTATTTGTGGGTGTTGGTGCATCTAGAGTTAGGGATTTGTTTGAAAAGGCGAAATCAAAAGCACCTTGCATTGTGTTCATTGATGAAATAGATGCTGTAGGAAGACAAAGAGGTGCAGGTCTTGGTGGTGGGAATGATGAAAGGGAACAAACTATTAATCAATTGTTGACAGAAATGGATGGTTTTTCGGGTAATTCTGGTGTTATTGTTTTGGCTGCTACTAACAGACCCGATGTTCTTGATTCCGCTTTGTTGAGACCTGGGCGGTTTGACCGACAGGTGACAGTTGACCGGCCTGATGTTGCTGGTAGAGTCAGGATCCTTCAGGTTCGATCATATCCTTTTTATTGTGTCATGAAATTCTCTTGTGAATATGTAGTTAAAGATTCATGAAATTAGTCAAAAAGAAAAAGTATCTTAAGTTTCTTATATGTTGCAGGTGCATTCAAGGGGAAAATCACTTGCAAAAGATGTGGATTTTGATAAGGTTGCTAGGAGAACACCAGGTTTCACAGGAGCTGATTTGCAAAACTTGATGAATGAAGCAGCCATTCTTGCAGCTAGACGTGACCTTAAGGAAATAAGCAAAGATGAGATATCAGATGCTCTTGAGAGAATCATTGCTGGCCCAGAGAAGAAAAATGCAGTTGTTTCAGAAGAGAAAAAGAAGCTTGTTGCATATCATGGTAACCAAACTTAATACTCCTGTCTTTCTACTCTTCTCTTCCCATGAAAACCACTAAAGGGTATTTTAGACATTTCATGTCATGGTAACCAATTATATATACCTATCTCTCTACTACTCCCGTCCCATGAAAACCAGAAAAGGGTATTTTTGACATAGTAACCGTAACCACACATATGTACCTGTCTCTCCTTTTCCCCTTCCCATGAAAACCAGAAAGGGTAGTTTAGACATTTTGATAAGAAACATGCTTGTGAAAAGTCATGTTCCACGGTTTAGATAAAGTTCAAACGGAATTTTCCTTTTGTTGAGTGCCCATTATCACAGTACCTGTTGATCTTATGCTTATGATCTACAAAAGGGTATTTTAGACCTTTTTGCATAACATGGTGGCTGGACATTCTTTACTTTTACACCCCTATGTTCTCCTGAAACTCCATTGTTTTATTCTCTAGAAAGTAGTATAGCCAAAGCCCAAAAGTACCTATTTGTCTATTACCTTTTTTCACTATAAGTCTATAACCATGATCTTCTGACATTAGAAAAACAATGATAATTTAGACATTTTGCTAAGAGGAAAATATCATTGTAACGAGAATTGCGTTGTTCCATTCTTTGAAAAAAATTCAAGCTAAATTACCTATTTGCCCATTACAGTCCTTTTAACGAAGAAAGGTAGTTTATAACTTTTTGCTTATTGTGAGATATAACACCTTGCTTGTAACTAATCCGTGTAACACTAATTTTGGTCCTCAAGGGTATTGTAGTCATTAATTTACTAGGAACGAAACACATTTGTCAATTCAAATTCTAATATTACTATGTTGAATTTGCAGAGGCTGGACATGCTCTAGTTGGTGCCCTAATGCCCGAATACGACCCTGTAGCAAAGATATCCATCATTCCTCGTGGTCAAGCAGGTGGTCTTACATTTTTTGCCCCAAGTGAAGAAAGACTCGAATCTGGTTTATATAGCAGAAGTTACCTTGAAAACCAAATGGCTGTTGCACTTGGTGGAAGGTACAATACTTAACATTCAATCCTAAGGTGTTCAATACATGTGAAAACGCTCGGATCTGGTTTATCTAGTTGTGAAAAAAGACAGCTTTGCCCTTGTGATCGTCCCATACACATTCCGTAGTGATCGTAAGGGGCAAAACCATCTTTTAAAGATATAACTTTTATGACCAACAAAACTAAACACCACCAAGCATATTGTAGGGTTGCGGAAGAGGTTATTTTTGGAAAAGACAATGTTACAACCGGAGCATCAAACGACTTCATGCAAGTTTCTCGTGTAGCAAGGCAAATGGTCGAGAGGTTCGGATTCAGCAAGAAGATTGGTCAAATAGCAATTGGTGGTGGTGGTGGAAATCCTTTCTTGGGTCAACAGGTATCAAACAATCCATCCATTTGTACACTTCAATAACATAACTTTAACTTTTTTAAACATATTAAAGTCAGACTTCCACTTTTTTTATATACAGATGTCATCCCAAAAAGATTATTCTATGGCAACAGCGGATATTGTAGACGCAGAAGTACGTGAACTTGTCGAGAAAGCATACATTAGGGCAACCACAATCATCACAACACAAATCGACATCTTGCATAAACTTGCTCAACTCCTAATGGAGAAAGAAACAGTCGATGGTGAAGAATTCATGAGCCTTTTCATCGATGGGAAAGCCGAACTCTACATCCTAGATTAGGAAAAATTGCGCAATTTATATGTAAAAAACTTAAGTTTGACAAATCGATGTACATTTCCTTCACACATTCGGGATTAAAAGAAAGTAAAATAAAATAGACGGGATTTAAATAATCTTATCTCATTATAGCACGACTATTTTACGACAACAATATTTGATTTCTTCTTTTTTTTTTGGATTGAGATTATTTGGCGCGTTTTTTGTCTTCAAGAGTGGCGGCTTCGTTTAGCATATCGACTGCGTCTTTGTGCATGTCGAGTTTGGCGAGCGCGACGGCTTGCATGTAGAAGGCGGTCGACCAATCGGGTAAGACACACTGTGCTTGCATGGCGTCTCGGAGGGCGGCATCGGGTTGATCGCACATGAGGTGGCATAGACTGCGTCTTGCGTATACGGTTGGGGATATCATTGTGCCCACATCGATGAACTACATATACAAACATAACGATTTAAAATCATGTAACAAATATTTGAACGCGTAAGCAGTATTAGATAGACTTTCTAGGGCTATTTTCAGTGACATCTTTTGCATAGACGAGAGAGCAAACCCGTGTCACATCTAGTAGCAACATGTTTGGTATCTCGTATAGTAGATGTATAGTAGATGGGGTGTTAGCGAAACTATAAGTGGAGATGAAGTTTTATGGAAGGAATAAAGGTTAAATGCAATAAATAACAACATACTTTTATTTTTTTGGTTATTATAGAATATTTCTTTTATTTTTTTTAATATTTATAGCATTGTACTTTGAAAATTCTATCCGATCATTGCCATGTCATCTAAATACAAAAATAAACGTCAGTATTATAATTAAGTTGATTTTTCAAAATACCAAGTCAGAAAAAATTGAAAGTACAATGCTAAATCTATATAAATTTTTTGAAGTACAAAGCTTGATAAGAGAAAACCCAAAAGTGGTGGAAACAAAGTGTTAAATGCAAAAAGTTTGGTTAATTTGCTTATAATAGTGTCTTTCATTTCTTCCTGGATACAACTTTGTGCTTAAAAGATTTAACTAAATTGGGTAGATTTGTCAAAGTACAAAACCTTGACAAAAAAGTTGAAAGCATGATATTATTATAGAAAAAGTGAAAGAAGAATGCTATAAATCTATAACAAACAAATTAATGTATGTTGCTATTTCTTGAATTTATCACTAGAAATAAAGCAAAAATAAATACCTGGGAATAGCAATCGATGGCTGTTCTAAAATCTTTATCACGAAAAGCAAGATCCCCACGCTTTCTTGCCTCCAGCATATCCCTCATTTGTTGTGTCCACTCTTGAAAAGACAGCTGAAACAATCATCATTCAAAAAAAACATTAATTAATTTCACAAAATCAATAAGTTGAATTTTTATCAAACTAAAGTTACAATGTTATGGATGATCACCTCATTGGTGCCTTCATCATCTTTATAATGTGTCATCACTAATATCTGGTGAATGGCTGTCAGATCCATTCTTGAACATGCATCACCCATTGGAGAAAGAGGGTGTGGAGGGGTTGCAGGTGCTTCTTCATGTTTTGGTATCCCCAGCATTTGATAAGAAGGAACCTAAAAATATATATTTTTTTTAAAAAATAAGATCATTACAATAAATAGCTAAATGCAAGCAATCGCAATGTTTGTGTATTATAGCATCCTGCTTCTAATTCTTTCTATTAAATAACTGTACTTCCAAGTCTTTTTATTTATAAATTGTAATTCGAAAATCTACCTAATAATAGAATTGCACTTATAGTTTTTATTATTATTAGGGCATCATGCTTTGAAAAATCTACTGAAGTATAGCACTGAAAATTTCTTTGTATTTGGATGATATTGCTATAATTAGGGTAGATTCTTCAAAGTACAGCGCTCAAATAGGCAAAAAAAAGTGAAACTATAATAAACAAATCAATTAAATGAGATTGCTATTTCTTGCATTTAGCCCTAAATTATATGATTTTATCTAATAGAACAATCAAGAAGGGTGTAACCACTGAACCCATTTGACCCATTTCCTTTTAGCATCCTACTTTTAATTCTTCCTATTACAAGTTTACAACAATATACATTGAAAAATCTACCCAACTATAGCAACGTCATCCAACTAAAAAAGTAATTTTCACTTTTATAGTTGGATGGTTTTTCAAAGTACAATGCTTTAATAAGAAAGAAAACTGAAATAGGTTTCTATAATAAAAAAAATACATGGAAATATGTTGCTATTTCTCTAGTAAGACATAAAGAGAAAAGTAGGGACTCACATCTGGTTTGTTTTGCAATGGAGCAAGTGTGGCAACCAAATCTTTGGTATTTGGTCGTTCCCTTGGTTCATACTGCAAACATCGTGAAGCAAGATCAAACACAACAGTTGCTTCTTCAGTTGAAAAGTTACCCTCTAAATGTGAATCCATCAAAAGAAGAATGTTTTTTCCTCGTATCATTTCAAGTGCCTACAACAATATCATATCTCATTCATTAATGGAAACTAGAAGAAGTAATGGAATCGTGTAGGATCGGAATCGGAATCGGAATTACTTACATGACTTGGTGGAATATGCTTTCCGCTCAGAAGATCCAAAAGTACAGTCCCAAAGCTAAAACTAACACTCTCAGGCGTAACTCTCCCTACAAAAAGAAAAAAAAAGGTCAATTTAATCTTCAAAGCCAAAATTCACCAAAAAAGTTTGGTGATGTGTGTCGGTAGGTGAGGGGGGGGGGGGGGTAATACCATTTCGAAGATACTCGGGAGGAGTGTATGCAAGATTTGTGCTGTAACTTTTTCCATCCCTGCTATTTTTCATCAACCCAAAACATGAAAGCCTTGGATCACCATTCTGCAACATTTTCCAATCAAATTATCAATTTAATTCAAACAAAATATAGAAATTTTTTTTTATAAAATAAAATAAAAAATACAGTACCTCATCAAAGAGAACTCTATAGGCATTCAAGTCATGATACAATGGACGACCTTCAGTACTGCAATAATCCAATGCCTCAGCAATACAAAGAGCGACACGTAAACGCATTGCCCATTCGATTGTTTGATTCTCCCCTGTTGAAGACAAAGACAAAGAGAAAGGTTAAATTACTTATATGCCCTCATATTATCTATTACTTCCTAATAATCAGAATTCACCAAACATTTAACACCAATTCCTGCAACGTATTTTAGTACATCTGATTATGATTATTCATAAGCGGATAAGCTTATAAATAATGAATTCAAATTTCAAAATCTGACATTATTTTGAGAATGGAAATGTGAATTGTAAGATAGAATTATAGTTATGAATACATACAGTGAAATAGATGTTTTGCTAGAGTATCATTAGGCATATACTCTGCAACAAGTAGCCTTTCGTCTCCATCACAGCAATATCCAATCAAATTAGCCACCCGATTATGCCTCAACTTTCCAACTCCCCATGCTTCATCCTTTCAAGAAAAAAAAATCACAATTATTATTCTCAACTAATCAAAGGTAATACACATGTCATTAAATATTATTCGAGAAAATGAGGAATATCAAATAACCCAACTAGTTTTGAAGACAAATGCTAACAAACTATTCCATTTTCCAATTAGGTCATTAAACTTGGGAAAACCAATTAATTGGGTCATTTGGCAACAGTGATTTTGAATATTTGGTCAACAAATGCTAAAAAATGGTAGTTTAGTGACATAATTGCCATATAAATGTTAATTAAGTGACATATTACATAGAACCCATATCAAGTCATCACTTATAAGGTAACTACTTCAATAATAACTACAGAAAATTGATTATCAAAAAGTAAATTACTTATATACCCTAATCTCGTCTATTACTTCCTTAAATAACCAGTATTTGCCCAACAATTAACATTATGAAGAGATCAAATTAGCTCATTTTGATTATTCAATATCATATTACTGCATCCTAACACACTCTAAGCTATATATACTTGCAATGAACAAACAAACTATACTCTAAAAACCCTAAAATTTCAAGTAAAATCACCCAAATGCGAACTCATTCGTAACAGCAAGAACCAGTTACGCAAGCTTATTCAACCACATAATGTCATTCTAAAGCAGAGCCAAATAACTGTAAACCCTAACCTTTCAAATAAACAGTAAACCCTAATGCCTGAATCAAAGCAATAATAATAATAAGCAATCGATACCGCAAACTGTTTCGGATCAGGCCACGCCATTTTTGAAAACTTCTTCACAGCAATCCACCTCCGATTCTGAAGCCGGCCCTTATAAACAACATTCGGAGCTTTTTCGCCACTTTCAGAAACAATAAACTCTGAACTGAAGTTATTAGTTGCAGCCTTCAAGTCCCCCAGTGAGTACTCAGAAAACACAGGCACGCCGCCACCATCTCCGGCGAAAGCAGCACCTTTTCCGTTCGATGGCGAGTGACGCTGAGTACTCTTGTGAATATTATCTTTTTCTGATGTGGGTTCTTTCGAAAAACACGAACTACAACAACCCATCACTCCAAAACCTCTCAAGAAAAACTTGAATCTTCTGAAAACGGAAGCTCCGTTCTTTATCAGTGAAGAACCATATTCACACAAGAAATTATTGTACTCTAAAAGGACATAAAATGTTGATATGTAGATGAAAATTTGTTTTTTACTTGCGTTTTTTTAATTTAATGAGAGGAAAATACACAAAGATTCAGATATTGAAAAGTTTGGAGGCGTCTAAATGTATACATGTTGTCGTGTGGATAGAGAGAGATCTGAAAGTCGGTAAGAAGATGAAAGTGGAAAAAAGGCCGTGACCCGTATACAGTTCTTGAATTATCTCCGCGGAAAATCCTAAACCTTGTCGACTACAGGTTTTACATATAGATTCCGACAAATTAGATGAAAAGTGTAAGATACGAGGAAACTAAGAATATATATTTTATGTTGCTTATTAGACTATAGTTTATGCTAATTTACATTCATCATTCATGGACGTGTTTATGGGAAAGTTATTTTTCACTCAAATTGTTCAAAAGTTTTTTCTTAGTCTCTAGTTAATGTAAAATTAGTAAATGTAAAATGGTTATTTTGTCAATCATTTAGCTTTTCTGTTATTTATTTTTTATTAACGTTATATAAAAATTAA